CTGTGATAGTTTCTTCCAATATTTTGCACCCAGGAGTAGGCAGTTTATTTGTGCTTATTGGTTGTTGAGTAGTTGCTTATCTAAGATCTTAGACCCTAACCCCTTGTTACTGTCTATTCTGCAATGGGATATTGTGAGGTAATTTTTGTACACTTTTAAAGTGAAACTACACCTTGAAAGCTGATATAATTATAGACATTAACGTGAGCCTATCATAGGCATGTATATCTTTAAATTTTGTTTTATTTTTATTTTATCTGTACAAGTGTATTGCCTGCATGTATGTGAGTGCACCCATGTCATGCAATGCCACGCAGGTCAGAAGAGGGCTTCGGATTCCCCTGGAACTGGAGTTAAGGATGGTTCATAGCTGCCATGTGGGTGCTGGGAATCGAACCTGGGTCCTCTGCAAGAGCAGTCAGTGCTCTTAACTGCTAAGTCATCTCTCCAGCCCCAGATATACATTTTTTTGCCTTCCCCAGAGAGAAATCTCATGTCCCCATCAAGTTTGGAAAGTATATAATGACTGAATATTTCCACATTTTTTAGGAATCCTGCTTGCTTACTTTCTATGCTTTTATAACCCAAAGGAAGTAAGAATTGTTAGATATGATCATGGCCTTCACTTTGTTCTTGGCAAGTTATCGGGGAGTAATCTTGGTTGTTGCAGAAGTTGTACAAGAGGTAAATACACATTTTTGATACTCCTTTTTATAGCAAATTGGTGCATGAACCCCATCAGTTGCTAGGTGTGCCTTGATTTTATGCAATTTTGTACCTACTGTTAACAGTGTGTGAGCCTGTGCTGACACACGATACTCTAATTATGATCTGTAAGGATCAATAATAGAATCCTTTAAAGAATTTTTTACCTTTTTTTTTTTTTTTAGATAGGGGTTCTTGCTATATTACCAGACTGACTCAAGAGATGTTCCTGTCTCATCCTAAATAGCTGGTACTGTGGATAGTCTTCCACTGTGCCTGATACTAATCTTAGCTTTGCTGTTGACCCCTTGTGTTCTTGAGCATGTTAAGCTCTCTGATCCTTTGCTTCCTCATCTGTAAATTGGTAATTATGGTAGTACCTCAGTTATGAGAAAGCAGCACTACAGTAAAAGTGCTTAGCACAGTCCCTCATGTACTGGGCTCCATAATGAAGCCATTGCTGTTACTTTGTAATTTTCTTTTCTTAAAACCAACAAAAATACATTTTATCACTTCATTTTTTTTTCTTGTTTTGCATCATTGTCATCATCATCATCATCACGATGTTTGCACTGTTAGGGATCAAACCCAAGGACTTATGTAAAGCAAGTGCTCTCCCACTGAGCTACATCCCTCAGCCGCGTGTATCATATTTAATGAAACTATATCTACCTTAAGAAAAAATTCTACTTGAGGATAGGATAACCTGAAAAATAGTCCCAACTAAATACGTACATATGTAAATGGAGCTCTATATAAAAGCCATAAAAAGTCTCAATTGATGAATATTCCTGAGTTTCAATTTTTGTTCAGCTTTATTTTCCTAGCTTTACACAGAAATGGTTAGATCCAAATTTACTTTTTAAGCTTTGTATGCAACATTTATTTATTTACTTACTATTTTTATGTGTATGAGTGTTACGCCTGCATGTGCTTAAGTGCACCCATGTCATGCAGTGCCCACAGAAAACAGAAGAGGGCCTTGGATTCCCCTGGAAGTGGAGTTATAGACAACCGGTTGTTAACCACCATGTGGGTACTGGGATTTGAACCCAGATCTTCTGCAAGAACAGCCAATGCTCTTAACTTCTGAGCCATCTCTTCAGCTCCTATATCCAACATTTGAGAGTACAGTTACGATCTCCAGTAGATTTCTGTCATGCTACAGTACTACTGATGCTACAGTGTGAAAGAAGGAACAGTTTAGCTTTGTTGTCTACTTTTATTTAGTTGCACTATGGCAGTTTGGAAATGACTATACATGTCCAAAATTATTGGAATTTCTATGCTATTCTTTTGCTTTGAGTTGTTAATTTGTAATAAACTACTTTTCAATTACATATTTGTATTTAAAAACTATCTTTAAGAAGTATTTCCAGTTAACATGAAATATAGCTTTCATTTGAATTGTCAGTAGAACAGAAAATACAGAACTTGTGAACCATGTGCATTCTGTAATTTAATGTTTAGTTGCTAATTTGGCAAATAACATCATGTGTTTATAAATATCCACATTGTAACAATAAAGACTGATTGTCCCTCTACCAGTAAGAGGGAAGAGATTTTTGAATACATATAATGTCGAACTGTGTTGTTTATGAAGGCCATTTCATGAAACTTTTAATAATTGGCTCTTTTGTTTTCAGTTTCAGTTTGTTTTGGACTGTTTCAACCCTTTGTTTATGATGCCATATCCAATTAGGTCCAGAAGTAAGCTAACTTGATTGTATTACTAGAACATTGAACATTATAGATTTATAACCGATTTTTAAGGAATTGTTCTTTGTACTTAGGTTTTTGTTTTTAGATTGTCTTAATTCTAACTATAGAAAGAGTAGAATGTTGAGCAAGGAGTAGGTAAAAGAATGTTGACACTGCAAAGAAAGGAACATTTAAATATATAGAGTTTGGAGTAGGCTGGTGCCATGCTGAATAACATATCCCAGGTCATAACTTTGGGGGATGTTTCTGAACTTGGAGTGGCATGAAAGTAAGATTTAAAATTATCAAATAAGCCAGGCTTGTAATCACAAGGCTGAGGCAGGAAGATCTTGAATTTGAGGCCAGCCAGATTCTCTCTCTCTCTCTCTCTCTCTCTCTCTCTCTCTCTCTCTCTCTCTCTCTCTCCTCTCTCTCTCTCTCTCTCTCTCTCTCTCTCTAAACCTCTGTGCCCAAAACAATATGTCTTTTTTGAAAATATTTGAGACAGGGTTTCCCTGTATCCCCAACTGACCTGGAACTCCCTATGTAGATCAGCCTGGCCTCGAGAATCTTACAGAGATCTGCTTGTCTCTGCCTCCCTAGCGCTGGCATTAAAGGTGTGCACCACCAAGCCTGGCATATTTATTTTTGATCTTTGACTTATCGTGAAAATTACAATAAAAGGTCATTTATCTGGAGGTTCTCTTAACTAGCAAAATGTTGAAATCTTGTAGTAGTAGCTCAGCAGGTGTGGCACATGCCTCTAATGCCAGCTCACAAGAGGTGGAGGCCAGAGAATCAGAACTTCAAGGCCATCCTAGGCTACAATGGGAGTTTGATGTTGGCCTGGGCTTCGTGAGACCCTGACTTCAAAACAACGAAAGAAATCTTGGAGTAATTATTGCAATCATGATATTTGATTCCAAAGTAGATGGTTTAGTAAACTTTGAGAAGCTAAGAATGATTGCCAAGGAAATCCGTCAGATTGTTCTAATGACTTCTGCTAGCATGGACCCAGCCATGATGTTCTGACAAAGGTCATTCAGTCAAGGCAGCACAAATTCAAACATGCTGGATGTTCAGGGAGGTGTTCACAAGAAGAGGGCCCTCCGCAGCTCCCTGCTGAATGCCAAGAAGTTGTACCAGGATGCCCAAATGATGTGGAAGGTGAAGCAGTATCTTTCCAGTCTGGACAGGGACACAGATGAGAAGTTCCAAGTGGTGTCCCTGCAGTGGGAGTCTGCCTAGGGCACCTTGACTAAGAATTTAAATGAGAAAAGATCAGCCAAAGCCTCTGAAATGTCTCCCTTACCTTTGAGGTCCGTTGGCCACACTGCTAAAGTCTACCTGCATCAGCCGCACAGGCGAGCCAGGTACTTCAGGTGCCGCCGAACTTGCACCCTGCCAGGAAGAAAGGACTAGCAAAAGACCCTGTGTTGAATACAACTTTACCTCATAAAGCTTTAGGACCATCTGAAGAAATGAGTGGTAAGAGACACACAGAAGACACTATTTCTGTGGCATCATCTTTGCATTCTAGTCCTCCTGCCTCTCCTCACGCAAAGTTGGCAGTATCCTATCTGATCACAGCGTCCTGCTTCGCCTCTCAAGGTCTCATCCCCTCCCGGTGAGCCCAGCACCGCCATCAGTGGCCAGAGCTGCCCCGGAATAGGTGGGGTTTACTTGCAAAAGAAAATCCTTTAGATTAAAGGAGACTAGAGACAGGACAAGTGAAAACACAACCAGAAAAAGAATGACATCCCCGTTTAGAAGATGTAGGGAAAGAACTCTATCAACGGAGAGAGTAGTCAAAGGCAAAAAAGAGGACACAGATCTCAATCAAGCTGCAGACAGCTGTGAGAATGTGAAGGGTGTTGGAAGCAGCATCACAGATGAGGAAGGGAGTGCCATCTGCAAGTCAAATAGCCAAGGCAACGCGCTAGGCTGCTAGGCACGCTTCAAGCCGAAAAGGAGAAAGACATTCTGAAAAGTTCCTTATTTAATTTTAGTGTTGTCTGTTTTATTAACGTAAATGTAGCTGGAATTGAGCCATTTGTCAGAGGTTGAGCAATGCAGTAAATACTATTAAGCATTTTATGGCTAGTGTTACAGGCTTTAGCATCAAAGAAATAGTGACTTAATGTGCCTCACTTGTACATATGTTATCTTACTACTGTGTTGAGTTAGTAAACTTTTCCCACTTGTTATCTGTCAAAAATTTTTTTGAATACTGGGAAAAATGGAAAAACGCTGGAACCCTCTCCGTTTTACATATGTGCTTTCACGTACTGCCCTAAAACATTTTCAATACATATATGGTATATATCTCGTGTTTTCCAGGATACTAGTTTGTTACTAGCTCTCTCCGAGGAATGTTTTCTCCGCAGATATTCCCCCAAATAGTCAAGATATTGTAAGCAAAATTGACCCGTTGGGCTTTTCAAGGGCATTTTCTCCATGTGAGGAATGGGGTGTGTAGCCTGAGCCAGCCATGTTCCTTCTTTTGAATCCACACCTCAGCAGCTCTAAATGCAGAAGCGGCATCGGCGGGTGAGCGCCCCGGCGCCCGGCTTCGGCTGCAGGTTGGAGGCTGACGTCACGGGCGGTGCCCGACGGCTGCGTCTTCCCGGCCGACCGGTCGGGCGGAAGCGGGTGTGCGGAGGCCCCGCCCGGTCTGCGGGCCACTAGCGCCTCCTGGCCACCGAGGGAGAACGAGGTGCGAGCCTGGCGGCTGGTGCTCGGCGCCTGGGCCCTCACCCTGTGTTGCCCAAAGCCCCGGGGCGGCGACGACGATGGACTGCGAGCCGGCCGGTCGCGCAGCGGCGGGAGAAGCGGTGGCAGCGTCTGCAGCGGCCGCGGTGTTCGGGGACCGGGCTCGGCAGGTAGGTGGGGCCGCTCTACAGCCGGCCGGGCCTGGCCCCCGGCAGGCGGACGGCTTTTGGGGTTCCTCCTCTCGGTACCCCGTCTCCGCCCCACCGAGCGGCTGCCCAGGCGCGGCGCCGGGGCCTCGGCTTTCCGGGGGTGATATTCTGCCACCGGTTGTCAGCGAGGGAAAGCAGGCGTGTTCCGGGAAAGACTGTCCTCCAAGGTAGCCGAAAGCCAGATGACCGCAGCTTCCTGTACTGCAAGCGACTGCCTAGGCCTGGGACCTGGGATTAGTAAATAGCAGATACATACAGCCCGCCTACCGCCCAGCTAGCCTTCTCTACCCACATAACAATCCAGGGCCCCAGACGAGGGATGGTGTTGCCTTTCAGGTTGAGTCTTCCCACTATAATCAAGGCATTCAAGACAATCCGCCACAAACCTGCTTGATCTAGACAGAACCTCACTGAGAATTCTTCCAGTATTCAGTTCACCCAGTCTAACTGTTGGAGATGGGGTTTCCCCAGGTTCACCAATGAGGCGAGTAGCTCTGACCTGCCCAGCCCAGCACAAATACGACGCTAGCTGAATTGTCAATTACAAGGAAAGTTTCTCAGTAGCTACCTTAAGAAAGTAAAGTAAGCCCGTGATACTAATTTTAAAATATCGTATTTAATTCATTGTATAAAACATTTCTCCAGGCGTGGTGGCATATGCCTTTAGTCCCAGCACTCGGGAGACAGAGGCAGGCAGATCTCTGAGATTGAAGCCAGCCTGGTCTCTATAGAGAGTTACAGGCCAGCTAGGGCTATAGGGAGACCCTATTTCAAAAACAACAAAAACATTTCAAGGTATATTTCAAGAAACATCGTTTTTACATTCTCTTATTTTGTGTATATGCAACACAGGTTTAGAAGAAAGTGCTTCAAGAGTATATGCAATTTTGGCTTTTAAACATTTGAATTACTTCTTATAAGACACTTTTCAGTAGCTTCATTCAGACTAAATACTTGATTGTTGGTAAGACATTTCTCCCAAACTCCAGGTTCCTTAAGTATGGTCTGACTGTGAGTATAGCCATTATAAGTCTGACAGTAATTTGTGTTAGCAAAAACTTGTCTACATACTAGTCTGTGTGGAATTATTCCCCCCTACTATTCAACGCACACAATATTAGCACCCAGGAGGCTGGGAGGATTGCCATGTTTGAGGCCAACCTGAGTGTGCTACATAGTGACCCACCAGGTCAGTCTGGCCTACATAATGTTAAAGAAGTTGAAGAGACATTTTGACTTGATACCTTGTTGACAGGCCCACTTGCACTGTGCTTTAAGTGTATAGTATTTGATGTGCATTTTCACTTCACTCCTGATTTTGTTACTAGAATCTCTTTCATTACTGCTTCCCCTTTGAATGTCTAATATCAAAGTAAACATATTAGTACCGACAGACCAGTTAAGTATCGAGAGGCTTTTTGTTTTGTTTTGGTAGTATGTTATTGCCTTAACTTTTCTTGAGAAGGCACAGGTGAATGTCTACTCACCCCAGCTGGGCACCAACTCTAGACTAAAGTATAATTGCACCAGAGTATGCTTTCTTACAGAGCACAGGTGAGGGTTTACTTATACAAGCATGGCTGAACTCCAAACAGCTGCATCACCATCAAGTCCCACCCCATTTTGGATGGTGACCCCATGGAAGGCCACATCATGGAGTCCTGCTTTCAATCAGCCCATTCCTTCTGAACATAGTCTAGCATCTTCCAAGATCACTTGCACCTACCTGTGGGAGGTTAAATAGCTGAAATCTCAGAATCCTTCCTAAGGTCAGTAACACCATTACCATAGAGCTGCTGGCTACCACTGTGTTGTTCTGTTCTAGTTGCCATAGTTAAGGGACCAAGATGGCATCTCATTACCATCAGAGGAAAAAGCACTGTACACCAGTTTTTTTCATAGTCTTGATTTAAAAAAAAATTCTTTTTAAACAGTAAAGGCTGTAGAGCAAATATGTGTAAAAATTCACAGGAATAGCTCCGAGGCCCTTTCTTTGATTTTTCATTCCCCCAACTTTTGTGTATATATTACATTTATTTCTTATTAAATATAAACTCATACTCTACTCTTGAAATTTACCAGCTTTGCTTTCTTATATCTCCTGAAGCCAAAACACCTCTGGGAATTCCAGGGGTTTGCCCAGTAAGAGGAAGAAGTCAGTGAAGTGGAGATGTGGATGGGGGAAAAGGCTGCCAGCATCTTATATTCCTTCTCAAATAATCAGAACTGAGAAACTTCAGCCATGCATGGGGGCTCACACCTGTAATGCCACCACTTGGGAGTTTGGGGCAGGAGGATTGCTGTGAATTCTTGGCCACAGAGTGAGGCCTGTCTGAAAAGAAAGTAAAAAAGGCCAACCTGAAGTGCCATGTAGGGAAGGAATTCAAAATGGAAGACTAGATCTGTGTTTATAATTAGGCTTCTACCAAGCCATCTAGAATCTGATGTGATTATTTTATTCAGACTCCTTTTTGAGTAGACTTTTTTTTTTTTGGTCTTTTTGAGATAGGGTCTCTCTGTAGCTCCAGCTGTCCTGGAACTCACTATGTAGACCAGGCTGGCCTTGAACTCAGAGGCTGGCCTCTGCCTCCCAAGTGCTGGGATTAAAGGCGTGTGCTACCACGCCCGGCTTTTGAGTAGATTTATAACCAGAATCTCAGCTGTAATATTATTGAATAGTTAATGTTTCAGCTCTGTTCATTTATTCAGCACCTCTGTTACCAGGCAAAGGTTTTGCTGTTACTACATCCCAGGAACTGTTGTTGGCTAAAGGATATGGCAGTGCCAACCCTGTGGTGCTAAAAACTGATTAGGGAAGATGACACAATGAATTCCAAGTGTAGTATTTATTTTACAAATAATCCTGAGTGTTGTAGGATCATATAAAAAGATAATTGCTTTTAAAAACAGGTCCTTAGACTCAAGCAGGTTTACAGTCTAGTTGACCATAAAGTTAGTTGTTAATGGGTATTATATTTTTAAATTTCCTAGCATCAGAAAATTGTTTTCTCAGATCTTTGGAATTTTTGAAACTGAAACTTTATATAACTGACAGTAAAATATTATTTACAGATTTCCTATTTGTAAAAAGTGAAATGTCTGGAAGATTCAGAAAGTAATTTTTGTTTATAATTGTTGGAAATTTTGTACCACATTTTTTTGTTGGTCTTACCTGGCAATGCCTCCCTTCACTGCCCTACTCATCAGGGAAGGCTGGAAGCACACGTCATGCCATGTATTGTCTTTCAGTGTCTTTACTTGCCAATCTAGTTCCTTAAAATGGATTCCCAAGCCAGAGACCATGAGATAGATCCAGGTAGTCATCCATGTCATGTAAAGTTTTATTGGAACCCAACCACACTTATTACGTATGTCCAATATAAGCATTTTCTCATCCACGACTACTTTTGCAGAGTTCATTTGTGACAAAGACTGGCTGATCTGCAAAGCCCAAGATATTTACTACTTGTCATTTAGAAAAAGTTTGCTGGCACTTAAAATGATAGACCTTAAAATTTGAGATTTACCATGTCAAAGACTATTTTTTTATGCTGTTTCCTACATTTTTAATGCTCCTGACACTTACATGTTTGCACCTGTGTCTTTAATCTCTATGTATCTGATTATTACTAGTCACAGTCGGTTACACTCAGATCTTTTTTTTTTTTGTCTTTTTGAGACAGGGTCTCCCTGTAGCCCCAACTGGCCTGGAATTTACTGTGGGGTCGCTTCCTCTCCTCGTGGGTCATTGGCCACTGCTCCACGAGGACAAAGGGAGCAGAAGCGATGAATGGGGTCAGGATGGCCAGTGAGCACTGACAGAAGAAAGCCCTTCCGGGGAGGCATGTTCAGTGATACAAACAGCTCCAGACTCAGTGAAACAGCTCTAGATTCAGTGAAACAGCTCCGTTTATTTAGTGGGATGTTAGGGAAAATATAGTGTGGGGGCAGTAGCCAATGCTTCAGCTGATAGGTGCTCATAGTATGCTTTATTTACATGTGGCAATGGGCTCTTATCATCCAACTACCCGGCAATACCTAATTATCATATAGAAAAAACCTGGGGGTAGTTTTTACTCCAGGTAATTATGCCAAAGGTCATGTTCCAAATAAGGTCAGGCATCGGTGCTTGTGGCACTTTCCAGGTAAGTCAGGAAGAGAGCAGGAGGCCCCCTGCTGAGAAGGGGAGTCCTTCCATATGGTGCCGAGCCCCTTAGAGCTATCCAGACATGGAGGACTACAACCCTAGCAGCAGGGTTCCCCAACAATTTACTATGTAGACGAGGCTGGCCTTGAACTCACAGAGATCCACCTGCCTCTGCCTCTCTAGAGCTGGGATTAAAGGCATACGTCACTACACCCAGCCAAAGACTTATTAAACGTTTTTTTTATTTGTTTTTAAAGATAGGATCTCATGTAGTCCAGGCTGGCCTCAGAGTTACTGTATAGCTGAGGCTGGCTTTGGACTTCTGATCCTCCTGCCTTTGCCTCCTGAGTACTAAGATTACAGGCATGTACCACCATTGCCAGCTTGAATAAAATCCTTTATGTGAAATATAATGATTGGAACAAGTCAAATGCCATTAAAAATTGTTACATATAGAGTATTACTCAAAATTCTGGGGGTTTTTTTGGTTGTTGTTTTTTGTTTTTTGGTCTTTTTTGAGACAGGGTCTCCCTGTAGCTCCAGCCGGCCTGGAATTCCCTATGTAGACCAGGCTGGCTCTGCCTTCCAAGTGCTGGGATTAAAGGCATGAACTTCACGCCCAGCAAAATTCTGTTTTATACTTACCTAATTTTGGTACTGTAATAAAAACCGAGACTCACATTTCAGGCTTCCCTTTGGTAGATTAGAAAAATACTTTAGAGAAAAATATAGGCAAAAGTCAGGATTAGCAGAAAATTTGTACTAGTCTTTATGACCTGCACAATGCATTGATTTATTACAGTTGCCTAAGGGAGGTAGGAGATAGCCTGGTTGGTAAAGTGCCTTACAAGCATGACACCTATCCCTAGATCACAAATTTAAAAGCTGGGTGTGGTGGCCCATACTTGCAATTCTAGTACTGGTGGATGGATCCCTGGTGCTCACTGGCCAGTCAGTCGATCCTGCTTAGAGAGTTTGAGGCTAGTGAAAGACCATATCTTAAAAAAAAAAAATGGTGGTTATACCTTTGGCCTCCACATGCAGAAACACATACACACACACACACACACACACACACACACACACACTTCCCAAGTTGGGTATAATCCCAGCACTTGGGTGAGGGAGGCAGGAGGATCAAATGTTCAAAGTCATCCTCAGCCATATGGTGAGTTTGAGGTCAGCCTGGGCTACTTGTGACCCTGTCTCAAAAAAAAAAAAAACAGGAAAAAAAAATGAGGAAAAAATATTTCCTAATAATGAAATTTGTGTGCAATTAGAAATTCCATGGTCTCTAAGTAGTTTTAAAATTTGTAGCTCTCAGGCTGGGTGTGGTGGCCCATGCCTTTAATCCCAGTGCTCAGGAGGCAGACACTGGTGGATCTCTGAGTTTGGGGCCAGCCTGGTCTACATAGTGAGTATGGGCTATAGTAAGAACCTGTCTCAGAAAATCAAATAAATAAATAAATTTTGTAGATCTCTTTATCAAAAACCTGTTGCCACAAGTTTAGATATAGAACACTGAAGCCTTTTCAGATTTGGTTTACAAATGGATTTTATGTGGCCTGCACAGTGTTCAACCCCCTCCCCCTGACCAATTTAAATGTCTCTGGTTGGGGCATGCATTCTCCACTGGAGCCACTTGTCCCCGTAGAGCTCTTGGCCCCAAAAGGCATTTGAATTTAGGATTCCCAAGGTGTGTATGATTTTTTTTAATTGCATAAGGATTCTGTTTGATACTTAAAGCAACCAGATATTTGTTGAGTATAAAATGAAAGAAAAAAAAAAAACTCACTGAAACCAGTTTTCTTAACTTATCTTTGCTGTAGATAAGTAATGAAAGAGGCTTTGAAAATGTAGAACTGGGAGTCATAGGGAAAAAGAAGAAAGTCCCTAGGAGGGTCATCCACTTTGTGAGTGGTGAGACAATGGAAGAGTACAGCACAGATGAAGATGAAGTTGACAGCCTAGAGAAGAAAGATGTTTTGCCTACTGTTGACCCGGTATGTTTGATGTTGGTAATCCTTGCATCACTGGGTTTTTGTTTTGGGTAATTTGTTGCTCCTTGAACATTGAATGGAAGGGCCATTTGAACTTTAACTGTCATACATTATGATTCTGGTAGAAAGTACTATTTTTACATAATATGGGTAGAAATGTTTCCAACATTTCAATAAGCGAAAACGGTTCTGCTTTTTAGTATTGGAGTTCATCATCAGTGTGAATTTATATGACTTCTCTTACTAAATTGAGTATTTGAATGCTACTTCCTTTTGAGTAATAAAAAAGAGGTGTTCTTCCAGGTCATTATATTGAGTCCAGTTGATCCCACATTTACAGTAGGTACTGGTTTAGATGCTGGTCATATGGGAGGTGGGCTGTGTAAGTTTATATTCTTATATGTTAGTGGGAATACAGGCAATAAAGAAATAAATTTTTCTTCTGGGGCTAGAGAGATGGCTCAGTGGTTAGGAACACTGACTGCTTTTGCAGAGGACCCGGGTTTGAGTCTCAGCACCCACATGGTGGCTACCAACTGTCCATAACTCCAGTTATAATCTCCTATAGTAACAAGTGTAAAACATGCAAGTTCCTAAATATATGTATGTATATATGTATAGTAACAACCATGTAACTTTTCAAAGTATTTACTAATATTTAATAAGAAATAAAAAGAGGAGCTGGAGAGATGGCTTAGCAGTTAAGAGCACTGACTACTCTTGCAGAGGACCCGGGTTCAATTCCCAGCACCCACATGGCAGATACGAACCATCCTTAACTCCAGTTCCAGGGGAATCCAAAGCTCTCTTCTGACCTCTGCATCACTGCATGACACAGGTGCACTCACATACATGCAGGCAATACATTCATACGTATAAAATGAAAATAATAAAAATATTAAAAAAAGAGAAATGTATCTTCTATAATTACTAGGCTCAGGAAAATGCTCTAAGTAAAATAAAGCCTGTAACAGATGAAGAATTTAAAAATTGTATTCCATTTAAAACATGGTAATTTTCATAAGATAGCACCCATTAAATTTTGGCTATATAAAAAAAATCACATCCATATTTTCTAGTACAGAAAATATCCCAGAGAATTGTATGATAAACTCAGAGTAATTCCACACATGTAGAATATTAGAGATGCTTCATACAGTAGAAGAATTGTTTGAATAAATGTTTTCCTTTTAAATTACTGTGAAGAAATTAGTTTTAGTAAAATGTAAAAATTTCTGTGTATCTCTGTTTTAAGTCATTGTCAGTTGGGTGTGGCAGGGGGATCAGGAGTTCAAGGCTAGCCTATAAAGCGAGTTTGAGGCCAGTTTGGGCTACATGAGACCCTTTATCAAAGGAAATGAACTCAGCAAGCCATTGTCTCAAAAGATGCCTGGTGTCCACATAGAAGCGGGAGTGGCGGCACTGCTACAGAAAGCATGGATCTTTACCACTACCACTAAATCTTCCTAAAGATTTAGTCTTTTTAAAAAAGCTTTATTGAAATACTGTTTACATGTCATACAAATTCACCCATTTGAAGTTTACAGTGTAGTAGTTTTTCGCATATTCAAATAGGCACAACCACTGCCACAATTAGTACATTTATGTCACCTCAAAAAGGAACAAATGCACTTCAGCTATCACCGTCTATCTTCCATTTTCCTCCTAGTTCTTGGCTACCACTACTATTTCCTGTCTATAAGTTTCTATTAATCTTTTCTGTTTCCTTTTCTATGAATGGACTTGTGCTCTTCTGTGACTGTCTTCTTTTAATGAGGGTAATGTCTTCAAGATTCATTCATTTTATAGCATGTTGGTACTTTGTTCCTTTTCATGATCAAATATTGTATGGAACATTTTTATTCATCCATTTGTCAGTTGTTGGAAATTCTGATTGTTTACACCATTTGGGTCTTATGAATATGATGCTGTGGATATTCATACACAGGCTTTTTGTGTCGTGTGTTTTCATTTCTTGGGTATGTAGTTATGAGTAGAATTATGGGTCATTTGGTAACTGTTGTAACATTTTACATTCATATCAGTATTGTGTAAGCCTAAGAGTTCTGATTTTCCATATTTTCACTTAAGACTTGTTTTCTTTTCTGTTTTGATATTTTTTGGTTTTGTTTGTTTTGAGACAGACTCTCACTGTATAGGCTTAGCTGGCCTGGAACTCGATATGTGGACCAGGCTGGTCTCAACTCACAGAGATCCACCTGTCTCTGCCTCCAGAGTGCTGGGATTAAATGCAAGCATGGACCCTTACTGCCTTGATTCTAGCCGTTCTTCTGGTTCCATTTCATTTGCATCTCCCTGGTAGTCACTGAGCATCGTTTCACACGCTTACTGGCCATTTGTGCAGATCCTTGGAGATTGTCTATTACAGTCTTTGCTCATTTTTAGTTGGATTGTTTATATTTTATTTATTGAATTATAAGAATACTTTTTTTCTGGACATAAGTGCCTTTTGAGATGATCTGCAAGTGTTTTCTGTCATTCTGTGGGTTATCTTTTTACTCTCTTGATTAAAAAAAAGATTACTTGTGTGTGTTGTGTGTGTGTGTGTGGTGTCCAGTGTGCCACCCACACCAATGGAGGTCACAACTTGTGGAAGTAGTTTCTCTCTTTCCACCATGTGGGTCCTAGGTATTGAACTCAGGTCATCAGGCTTGGTGTCAGGTACTCTTACACTCTGAATCACCTCACTGGCCCCACTTTCTTGATTTTTGGGGTAGGATAAAGTCCAGCTTGTCTGTTTTTCCTCTTGTTGGTTGTTGTGTCATATTTAGGAATCCTTTGCCAAATCTGGGGTCACAAAGATTTTCAAAGTTTTATATTCAGGCAGGGCATGGTGGCACACATCTGTAACCCCAGCTCCTTGAGAGGCTAAGGCAGGAAAGTCCTAAGTTCAAGACACCAGCCTGAGCTGAGCTACATGATAAGACTTGTCTACTAGCTCATACATTTAGGTCTTTGGTACTGTTTCTTGGTTTTTTTTTTTTTTAAGATAACCTGTAGCCCAGACTTGTCCAGAATTCAAGGTGATCCTCTTGCCTCAGCCGAGAGGTTACAGGTGTGCTCAATTATGAGCAACCATATCGATACATTATGAGTTAATTTTTGTAAATGATGTGGGTAAGAAACCAATTTCATACTTCCATTGTGTGATTTTCCTGACTTAGAGTATTTTGGAAAAGTCTGTTTTCTTCCATTTAGTGGTCTTGGTATCCTTGTTAAATCATTTGATAAGAGGAGTGGGGGAGAGAAGGAAAGGGGGAGATTATAAAAGTTATGCCAGTGTGGTCTCTCTGGAAAGATAAGGAATTTTCCATTTAATAGTTCAGACTAAAGTTGACTGCTGGTAACTGAAATGAAACCACAGAAAGAAAT